GTCCCATTTTAGCCCAATCAAACTCCTAAACACAGCTTCCGTCTGCTCTTTAAACACGCTAGTCTACAATTCCTGTAAACTGAATCAGCAAGGACCAAAGTCCTGATTGTGGTAGAGATCTGTGATCCATTCTGCAGGCAGTTTCTCACAAGTCGAAACAACTAAAACAACAGGTGTGAGTGCTGCTAGAGAAAGTGGCATTAACCCTTTATCCTCAGCATTCCCTCTCCTGAAACCATGGCTCTTATTTTTAAAAGATGAAATCTCATGACTGGCCTCCAACCAAATGTTTAGCTAATGGGAATCCATGTACTTCAGACAGGATCCGTTGCGAATGAGATTTTACTGGAATGGGCGCTGTATTCATTGCAGTTTGGGCTTAATTCTGTTTTGAATGTTAAGCTGTTCTTTGCTTTGCTTACAGTAGCACAGTGTGTTTTGACTCGTAGGTTTGATGTTTACAAGGTGGCGACTGTTGATTGTAAACTTCCGTATCAGTGCACCGACTGCATTTTTGGAAGGCTTCTCTGTTTTGCTTATGACAATAAATAGAATAGTTGCCTTTCTTGACCCTGCCTTCTAAGTACAACCCTTCAAAGCTGTAACGTGTGGGTATTGACTAGTAATGAGCAGTTTGTAGCAAGATAAATATTGAACAGATCTTTCTAACCAGGAGGTTTCTATTTTCTGAAGATAATTTATAAGGAAGGTTTTATATGCAATTATTGTAGTGTTGATATAAATGTTAATTCAGATATATTCATCATATAATCAAATATAATAACAAATAATATATTTTTAAGTGTCCTCCCTGCCTTCCTGGTCAGTAAAAGGTGTCTATAATGTCCTTTAATGCTGCATTTTCATTTCTTGCAACATTGTAAGCACATGAGCACAGCACATGCCAAACCTATGACACAGATGATTGTTTCCATACTGGAAATTGGCATCCTGTCCATACACGGAGTTGCATAGGATGAAGATCTGTTTCTGTTTTTCCATATGTAAAGACACGTGTTGGAAGCTCTGATTGATAGTGTTTTGCTGTGGTATTGACATGACAATATTGTCGAAGAATTAGCACACTGCAACAATATCAGCAATGGGCTTGGCTTGTGCATTATTTCCTATATGGAAAATGATATTTGGCCAGACTGAAATAGTTCTGTTCCATGAAGAAAAAAACCTTGTTGTGACATGTGTGGCTTTTCTGGTATGCAGACCAATCTTTTGCATTCTTCTACAATAAGGAACAGGTTTCGCTTTACATTTTCCATGTATGTATGTGGCTACACTGCTTTATCCCAGTCAGTGCTTTTAAAAATTGACTGAACCCCTGAAACTTCAGTGTAGCTGAATACATTATAACACACCTATAACTGACTACACAGCAATCCCTTGTGAGAAGCAAGATGTTTCTTAAGGAAGTTTGCAGGCTTCCAATGTTATCTTCTGGAGGGGAACACATGTCATTTTAGGAACCCAGAGAACACAATTTGAACCACGCATCAGCATTCAGAGTTAATTCTTATGGTTTGATCACAATTTGACATTCTGTCATTCTTGCCTTTTTGTTCCTAATTGTGTGTTTATAACAAAGTGGTCCTAAATAGACTTGTTGGGATATATTTACTCCTTACACATCCCAACAAAAACTGTACAAGGAAGACACAAACAATATGCCAGTGCTCCAGAAGTCAAGGATTACTCAATTTCTCCTAGCAGCAGGATGAAATAAATGCTTACGACAAGGGGGAGAGAATCCTGATTTAGCACTTAAATTATTTATGATCAATTTTAAAATCTCTTTCTAAGGAAATTTTGGAGCCCCTGGTGGCTCTGAGCTGCTGAACTTGCTGATCAAAAGGTCACAGGTTTAAATCTGGGGAGCAGTGTGAGCTCCCGCTGTTAGTCCCAGCTTCTGCCAACCTAGCAGTTTGAAAACATGCAAATGTGAGTAGATCAATAGGTACTGTTCTGGCGGGAAGGTAACGGCGCTCCATGCAGTCATGCCAGCCACATGACCTTGGAGGTGTCTATACAATGCCAGCCTTGCTTAGAAATGGAGATGAGCACCACCCCAGAGTTGGACACGACTAGACTTAATGTCAAGGGAAAACCTTTACCTTTACTAAAGAAATTTTACTCCTTTCTATAAGTAAAAAAAAAAAGATATTTAGAAACAATCTAGCTTTAATTGAAGTTGATTAGGAGCTACCCTAGTAGAATTGGAGAGTTCATATTGGGGCAACCACATTACACAAATCTGTTTTCATATCAATTTCTTGATATGAAAAAGTCTTCAGACCACGATTTGATGAGGCTGCTCAGCATTCCCCTCCAGAAATCCTTCATTTCCTCTCCCCACAAATAGTTTCCAGGTTCTTTGAAGTATTTGGCTAAAGTGATATGAAGCCAGTTTTCCAGTGCAGATGAAGTACAGTAGAATGCGATCAAATAGCTAAATATTGCCCATACTTTCAAGGCTATTATTGTGGCTCAGCTAGGTTTTAAGACATTTTCACTCTGGTTCTTAGTCGTAGCTAATGCAGCATTCTCTTATTGAAGGGTGAGCCATTGTGGAAGTGCTAGAAAAAGAGTTTGAATGGAGAAGCCAGAGACTGGGATGTGTAGCAGGGATAGGGACCCCCCCCCCAACCAAATGTTATTGGACGAGAGACCAAAAACATTAGGAAGAGCACTTGTTTCCAGTTCTGCTGTATAGTCATCAGAAGAGCTACACTAAACCTGGAAACTGCAGAGTCTGAGAGACACATGAGAGCCGCTTCTTTCCCAGTTGGCCTGGCTACAAATCTTTCCTAATATTAAAATAGAATTAGCCCTATTCACAGACTTGTGGGCTTCATATGTGTAACTAAGTATAGGGAACCTAGCTACGTAGCTGCCAAAGACTTAGACTGTAGAGTTCGCTGTGAATTGCGAAGCACTGAGTTAAAATGTATGCATGGGACTCAACTCTTTAGTTTAAATAAGCTAAGCAATATTTAGTAGCAAAGACCTTTGAAAAACCATTCCTGATTATGCCACAACACGAGGCAAAGCTGGTCACCTGGACTAATGCACCTCTTGTGTAGTGTTTGTGTTTTGCAATATGTGTGCTGGACAATTCGCTGAAGAACTGTACCATTGTGTAACCATTAGGGGAGCACTGTTTCCACATTGTGTGCCTAAAAAGAAGCTAGAAATGCATATCACACTTGTTTACTTGTCCTTTCTCAAGCAGGGTCTGGTTGTGTACTTTACTTTTCTAGTTCTCTGCCTTGCAAACAACCTTTGCTCTTTGAATATCAGTCCTGAAATGCAATGATTGTAACATTTATTTATATGACGTGCTCTTTTGTTTTGTATTTAAATATTGGTTTGTCTTCAGAGTATATTCTTAGGGGAAATTCTGTATATATTTTTGCTATGTGTTTGTGTTTGGTTTCATTTTGATGTATATTTTGCACTGATTTTAAAAATCTGTATCGATTCTGTACCAAGTGCTTTGTGAGTATTGGGCAACGGATTAGAATTTGTCTGTGACAAATATAACAGCTAATTTTTCTTGTTCTGTGGATACACGTGTCTCTTGTGTTTTATTATGGCAGGAAGAGTTTCTTGCTCATGTACTACACGTCACCATTCTGCTCCCACTTTTAGTCCACAAAGTAGCCAATTTAGGGAAGTTTGTGTCAGTATGTTGTTGTCGTTTGAATATTGGGGACAACACATCTGGAGGGCACTATGTCGGGGAAGGTTACTGTCTGGGTTCATAACCCTTACTTTTACTTGCAACACTGCAGAGCACGCTCTTTACATCTGCTTTCCATATATTCACCCCATCAAAGTGCAAGAGCCAGATCCTTTTGAATACTAAACATCTTACCAATCAGACTACTGAAATATGAAGTGGGACCTATAAAAACAGTTTTCTGTATTAGGATTCCAACCCAAAAATCATTTCCTTTGAGTCACCCCTTGATCCTCTGCCAGTCAGTGATTTATGGACACTTTTTGTCTCCAAATACTTGTGTTGTTCTTCACTCTTTGCACACTTTGAACTTGCTGATAATGCTTTTTTGTGCATGAGTCCTGCTGGTGACTACATTACCAATGGAACTCAAGAGTCTTAACAGCAGAAGTGGAGGAAAAGTTATTACCCAAAGCAGGAAACAGAAATATTAACCAACAAATTAAATCCCCCTTTTCCATTATAAAATACTCTTCCTAATAGTATTTAAATTGCATCTACATAACTGTGATCCATATGGAGCTCTGAGTATTCAATGTGGAACTCCAGAAGGAACATCTCCAGAGGCAAGTGAAATGTAGAGAAGGTTAAGAGGTCACAAAATAGCATGTTGAAATATTTGACAGTATGTCATATTGAAGACGGAGCAGGTTTGTTTTCTGCTGCCCCGGAGACAAGAACACAATGGAGCAATGGATTCAAACATCAGGAAAAGATATTCCATCTGAACATTAGGAAGAACCTCCTGGTGGCAAGAGCTATTTGGCAGTGGAATATGCTGCTTCGGTGTGGAGTCTTGTTCTCTGAAGATTTTTAAATAGATTCTGGATGGCCATCTGTTGGGAGTGCTTTGATTGTATTTTCCTGGATGACAGAATGGGATTGGACTGGATGGCCCTAACTTGATGATTTTATGATCCCTGCAGCAAGACTTCAGCTTGTTTTTTGTACCTTACTAGGGAAATGAAGACTGCACATAAGGCTCATCTAAATAAGGATTACATCTTACTTACTGGGATGGATCCCTTGTAAACCAGGATGAATACGGTATATTATATGAATCAGTTGGGGAATGTGTGGGGAATATATGAGTTCTGGCTCTATGACTTGCACACAAATATAGAAGGACCTGAACACTACTTAAGCCAGGGCTTCTTCAACTTTTCCATTTGTGACCCTGGATATATAGGTATGTAAAATAGGAATAAAAATCAAACACATAACAAATCAGCATTTCAAGGCTTGCTAAACAGGCTGGTTTTCCTTTTTATGAAGTATAGCTGAAGCATCTCCTGGAGTGTCCACTGTAAACATGGCACAAAAGAGTTGTATAAATGTCTAAAACAGTCATTAGGTGACATTCAGAAAACTTTTACTGGATCCTTGGGACCCACACAAGAAGAGTTGCTTCAACCACCCACTCTTGTTCCAGTCAGTTTCCATCAACAGATGATTTACTGTGCTGTTTTGAGTAGCTGGGATACTTGAGTTCTTTGAAGTTCCTGCAACTTTCAAAGGCATTTGTATTAGTCTATGACAATGGTTCCCAATCTTTTTTTGACCAGGGACCACTCGCCAACATTAGTACCARAAGGGTTACGAATCAGTTTTTGGTCAACTTTAGATTCGGTTTAGTTATTTGAGGTGCTAATTCAGAAAATTGCATTGGATAGACCACATCAGCTCTAGTTTCTGATACAGAACATATGCCATCCAGTAGTCGCCATCTGCTCAGCCACAGAAAACAATATTTAAAAATCTAGAGCRGATGTGGTAGTAGTAATCTTTCATGGGTAGTCAGCCTCTCCACTCCCAACATCCCCATTGCCTCAGCACTATAAGAAGGTTTCACCAGACCAGTCGCTCTTGTTGCCACGTGGTTTCAAGGCAACGGTGTAGTAATGGTTAGGCAGTGGACCATATTTTCGTTCTTGCAGACCACTGGTGGTCCACGGACCACAAGTTGTGAACCATTGGTCTAAGAGTTCAACTGGAAACATTTCATATTTGTCCTGCTACTGCAAAATCGTCTTCGGTCTTGTTGACTGAACAGGCATGAGATGTCTCTGCATAGATTCTCTTGTAATTGGTGTGAAAAGCCACAGTGAAAAAACAGGCTATAAAAGTGCACAATCCAGCCATCACTAGCATCGGAGCTGCAGTAAAAGAAAAGGATATTAATTATCATTTATTTCTAATAAATACAGAAATAAAATACTATTTTAAAATCTATTAAAATAGTGTCAGCTTGCAGCCCTATTCTTAATTTGCATTTCTGTAAGTATGCCCCCCTCACATCAATAAGAGTTAATTCTGAGCTGGTAAATACAAGACTGTGCGATGAGGTAGCAAAACGGAAAACAAATTCTCCCAAGAGATTCATTAACTTTCAAATAATAATCAACCTAACTTTCTGTATTGCAATAAAAAAGTTTCCTGATTTGTATTACAAAGAGTGACTATAAACTATAACTTTCAAAAATGTGTGTCGCACAAACATAACAAAAATGACAAAAATCTTTGAAATGTAAGGTATTGCCTTACAAATCATATATTTTAAATATATATAAATGAAAAGTTTTCATAAGATATGTTGTGACCCCTTAAATTTTGTTATTACAACCTATAGACATGTCTGTATCTCTATGAAATTCAGGAGGAATTTAAAACGCAACACATCACAAGACTTTGGGATGAGACTTACTTGACCAGTCCAGTGCTCCACCTTGGTCCGTAGTACAGGTAGAAAGAGGGGCGTTTTCCTTCTCCACAGCCAAACTTTGGAACAAAATCATGAAGAGCACTCCTAGGAGCTGGCTGTGGAAATAATATCAATTACAACCACCCTTGTTCTCATCCTTCTCCATCCTACCTTCAGGTCTGGCTGAATTGGATAAAGATTTTGCTCCTTCACAATTAAAACAAACATTTATGGATACATTATACTTTGTCCTCTTCCCTATTGGCGAACCATCGACTTCCTACAGCATCTCTATCCAAATAGGTAATATTCAGTATCTTTCTTCCTATCAGTTATATGTTACGTCAGTGGCAACTTGTCAGTTGGATGTGTCTGCCACTAAAATAGTTGTCAGTGCTGTCCACCTAAAATTGAAGCCAGGCTTAGCACAGCAGGCTAAACAGCTGTGCTGCAGAAAAATCCGATCAGAAGGTCAGCAGTTCAAGCCTGGGTCAGGGTTGAGCTCCTGCCATTAGCCTCAGCTCACCTGCCCACCTAACTGGTTGAAAGTGGAAATGCAAGTAGATAAAATAGGTACTGCTTTTAGCAAAGCGGTTATAAAGGCACCCTTAAGGACATCGATCGGAGGAAAGCTCGGGATGGAAGATGTAACGACAGCACCCCCCCCCCTGGTGGCTGGAGTCAAGCACAGTCTCCAAGATGCCAGAAATAAGATGGAAAAAACGGCCTTTGTCCTTGTTCATTTTAAAATCGGCATTGAATGTTTGCCATATGTGTGTTCTCTAAGTTGCTTCAGGGTAAGAAGGTCAGGGCATAAATACTGCAAATAAGTAAATTCACCTGCTTCATATCCTGTGCTTAGCAAATTTTTCTCACCCATCACAGGCAGAAATAGTGTTGTGCCTTTGATAATGCACCATATATAAAAGAGAAGATGCTGAAAATATGCCTCAATTCTCCTTTTCTTGAGAGGAAAAGTAAGATGGATGACCTTACACTTTGTTTCAGGATGGAAAAGGTCAGAAGATTGGCTGGTCCTCTAAGACTGTGAAGATGCATTGGGGGGGGGGGTATTGGGAATATTTGAGATAAAAGGTTTTTTTAATTCTTCTCTATACAAGCCACTACTCAATGGTCAAATGCAAGGTCCCACAGCCAAGTCTTGAGTTTCCTTCTAAAGGACAGGAAGGAGGTGGCCAATCTGATGTCTTTGGGAAGGGAATTCCACAGACGGGAAGCCACTGTTGAGAAGGCCCTGTCTCTTGTCTCCACCAATCGCATTTGTAATGGCGGTGGGATCGAGAGCAGGGTCTCTCCAGATGATCTTAAACTTCGTGATGGTTCATTACAGGAGATACATTCGGACATGTTTTTGCCCCCAAAACCTGCCCTTCACAAGGTCGGCTTCTACGCAAGGGTATATGGTAGCTGCCCCTCTTCCACTCAATGTAAGCTGAACCTTCTGGGAACACTGAAGCCTGCTTGACGGCCTGTAAATTGTAACCTAATCAGTTTGTTTTCCTGAGACTTGCATTGCTCATGTAGGCACCCAACCTGCAGCGTGATAAATACATTTAAATTTCAAAAGGATAAAAACCAGCCAAGCAAGGCAGAGGTGGCACAATGTTTTTACCACTGGGAACTATGAGAGCTGCATTTATTGCACAATGCCTAGGATCTTGATCCTGTGTTTTGGTTTTACTTTATTGTAATATCCTGTTAGGCTTGGCCTCATGTAAGCCACTCTGAGTCCCCATTGGGGAGATGGTGGCGGATTATTAAATAAAGATTATTATTATTATTATTATTATTATTATTATTATTATTATTATTATTATTATTTGCATACACAAAGCTTGTAGAATAAAAAGGAATAAAGAGGAATTGACAACCAATTACATTTTAACCATGACCTCCTTCCACTTTCCATCTCATTGCTTTATTTATGTCCCAGCTTTCTCCAAGTCAAAGTATGTTGTTGTTGTTCATTCGTTCAGTCGTCTCCGACTCTTTGTGACCTCATGGACCAGCCCACGCCAGAGCTCCCTGTCAGCCATCACCACCCCCAGCTCAAAGTATACAAAAGTCAAAGTATACAAAACGATATTTTGGTAAGCCTTCCTATTCTAGGAATAGGGCCTCTCCAGGTGTTGCGGAATGACAATTGTCATCATTCTTCACCAGGCCATTTGGAATTTGTGTTCAACAATACCTGGAGGGCTACCCATGTATCCTGTTCCCCATTTGAAAAGAAAGAAAACAATATGCTCTTTACCTTGTGACAAAAATCAGCCCAGATGTTGTTCCTTCTCCTACAGGGTAGGAGCATTCAACAGCTAGCTCCAAGGCAACAGGATAAATAGCAAATCCAAATAAGCCAAAAAGTGAGCTGATGGTTGCCAAAACATAGGTCTGGTTTCTAAGCTGAGACACCTGCAAGAAGGAAGGGTGCATTACACGTGGTGAAAATGGCAAAGTGTACCTCATAGCAGTTCAGCTTCATCATGAGCTGATACAGGAAGTCCTAGACATGTTTCCTTCCTTCTCAACTCATGGTACAACTAATGGTACGGCAGTTATCTCAGGAGAAAAGGGGTGAAGTCAGGTAACCCTGTTCTCCAGGTCTTGTATGCATTATGCTCTTGAGGACTACAGGGACCCAATCTACAAACAATGAAAAAAACAGACTACACAGAGAAGCCACTGAAATCCACAAGCCTGTGGACAGTTTCAACAGAAAGGAGGAAACCATGAAAATGAACAAAATCTGGCTACCAGTATTTTAAAAACTCCAAAATCAGGACAGTAAATAAAGAGTAACATGCAAAAAACAGGGGAAAGCCAAGTAATGAAGGTGGAGGCATTATTTATCATTCAACTCTCATACCTTAAGCTGAGAATGACTTGAAGGCACACAATGACATCCTAGCATATGCTTACTTTTCACTCTTCTATATTTACATATATCTGTCATTTCTCCAACTTTTTTTTTTATCGTGTCAGGAGTGACTTGAGAAACTACAAGTCGCTTCTAGTGTGAGAGAATTGGCCGTCTGCAAGGATGTTGCCCAGGGGACACCCGGATGATTTGATGTTTTTATAATCCTTCTGTGTTGGGTAGTTAAGATGGGAGATAGAGGAGGGTGTGTGCATGGGGGAAAGTGCCTTCAGCGGCCACTCTCCATATCAACCTAAAAAGCCTTAAAAAAGGCAATTAAACTGCTGAGCTGCTGAACTTGCTGACCAAAAGGTCAGCGGTTTGAATCTGGGGAGTGGAGTGAGCTCCTACTGTTAGCCCCAGCTTCTTCCAACCTAGCGGTTCGAAAACATGCAAATGTGAATAGATCAATAGGCACTGCTTCAGTGGGAAGGTAATAGTGCTCCATGCAGTCATGACCTTGGAGGTGTCTACAGACAATGCCAGCTCTTCGGCTTAGAAATGGAGATGATCACCACCTCCCAAAGTCAGACACTACTGGAATTCATGTCAGCGGAAAACCTTTAACCTTTACCTACTATTCACGGTGCTGCTTAGTGCTGAATGGGCTGGTGAGTATAAAAGATACAGCAATATTTAGTTAAAAGAAACATTATGTAGTATTAAGGAATTTACCATGGCGAATGCAATGCCAACCAGGGCAATTAGACAAAAAGAGATCTTGCAGGCTTCTGTAAATTTCTTTGTCCTGTCCACATACAGCCCAAGGAAGAAGGCTCCAATTAGTCCGGACACAGTAAACAAGGCACCAGTTACACCTGCAAAGAGCTGTAAAGAGGGATTTCATTAGGCATCACAGGCTCTAGTAGAGGTTAAGAATATAGGGGAGCAGCTTGGTGGCATCCTACCATATGAACAGGTGACAATTCTAAGACCATCTGTGCAGCTAAACACCCAAATGGCATCCTGTATTATTTACCCAAGTTTTATCACTTGGGTAAATAATACTGATATTCGGAACTTCCAGTGTAGTTACTGAAGCTGGAAATGAAAACAAATAAAAATGCAACCAAACATAGGTTCTCTACTGCTTGTATTTGCATGCCACTCAAAGCCATGATTTGTTTAACTATGACTTGTTGCTTTAGCTATTAATTGTCACAATACACTTTCGTCATATCTGGCATGTTTCTCTTTCAAACAGCTCCCATTACAAGGTGCTCAGAGGACCAACAAGTCAGGAACAAGCCACTATTTTTGTGCTGACATGGTAGTGCCAGGAGATTTGAATATTTTTTTCTTGCACTGCTAGTTTGTATGAATTTATTTAAGCCCCGCATTTTGCAATCAGGTAGCTTCCCCAGGTTGCAGTCATAGGGCCAGCAACCTGGCAATCATCGTTAGAGTTTTTAGACCCGGCCCTTTTCCCAGGGTTTTGGAGGCAAAGAAGGACCTTTGTTCAGTCTCACTGTTTGAAGCCTAACAGCAGGACGTGTGGGATTCTCTTTCCCACCTGCACAAAAGCTTCACTTCTTGCAGCTCTGCTGGGGGAGTAAAAGGATAGTTCCACAGCTTTTGCTGGGGGAATACAGCCAGCCTTTGCTGGGGCAACAGAACAGGTCCTACAGCCTTTGTGGAGTAAAACTAAATGACACCTTTCGGCTTGGCAGATCTACAGCAACCATTGTCTGGTAAGGGACCACTCAGGCTATCCATAAAGTAGCTTGAAGCCAGGAGTAGGGGCCTCATGCCAGCATGGTAAAGAACGACTGCCCAGGGAAGGGTCAGAAGTTTTCCCTAAGGAAGAAAGGAACAGTTTACCACCAGTTGCCTGTCCTTGATAGCAGATTGAGGAAGCTACCGGTTTTCCAAGGTTATAAAGCATTTAATTCATTTGTTTGAGGATTTAAGCTCAAATAAAGAACTTTGTTGAACTTATTTGGAGCCTCAATAGAACTTTGTGTTGGGAAATCTAAGGGGCTCTTCAGCTGAGGCACCCCGGCGTCCCGTTGGGCATACAGAAGGCACGTCCTGTAAACAGACATTATTTCAGGCCCAGCGTGCGACAGCACAATTTGGGATACTGAAGTAACAACAAACCACAGTTTAAAAGCTACAGCAGATAAGCCAGAAAAGAAAATCATGTTTGCAGCCAGTTTGCAAAACACTGTTTATTTTCATAGACAGGTTCATATCAAAGAAGCCAGAATGTAACAAGCTGCAACCTGCCTTACCATTGCCCAGTCAAAACATCAGAGATCTCCATGTTCAAGTAAGTGATTTGGGCTGTTGTACACTAAGTTATACCTGCAGCAAAAGAAGGGGTGGAGGAGGGGGGGATGTAAGAGCCAGAGGCCCACTCCCAAGCTTTTCTCGACTAGAATTAAAGTACATGCACATCCATTATGCTGAAAGAGGAAAGGATGCTTCACCTTAACACTGGCCTTCATTTGTACATTACTGAAATGAGGTTTCTCCAACACAGTGCTTATTAATTTGTTCAATGTATTGTCGAAGGCTTTCATGGCCGGAATTACTGGGTTGTTGTAGGTTTTTTCGGGCTATATGGCCATGTTCTAGAGGCATTTTCTCCTGACGTTTCACCTGCATCTATGGCAAGCATCCTCAGAGGTAGTGAGGTCTGTTGGAACTAGGAAAGTGGGTTTATATATCTGTGGCATGACCAGGGTGGGAGAAAGAACTCTTGTCAGTTGGAGCTAAGTGTGAATGTTTCATCTGACCACCTTGAATAGCATTTGATGGCCTAGCAGTGCCTGGGGCAATCTTTTGTTGAGAGGTGATTAGATGTCCCTGATTGTTTCCCCTCTGTTGTTTTCCTGTTGTAATTTTAAAGTTTTTTTAATACTGGCAGCCAGTTTTTGTTCATTTTCATGGGTTCCTCCTTTCTGTTGAAATTGTCCACATGCTTGTGTATTTCAATGGCTTCTCTGTGTAGTCTGACATGGTAGTTGTGAGAGTGGTCCAGCATTTCTGTGTTCTCAAATAGTATGCTGTGTCCAGGTTGGTTCATCAGGTGCTCTGCTATGGCTGACTTCTCTGGTTGAAGTAGTCTGCAGTGCCTTTCATGTTCCCTGATTCGTGTTTGGGCAACGGTGCGTTTGGTGGTCCCTCCCTATGTAGACTTGTCCACAGCTGCATGGTATACGGTAGACTCCTGCAGAAGCGAGAGGATCTTTCTTGTCCTTTGCTGAACGTAGCATTTGTTGGATTTTCTTGGTGGGTCTGTAGATAGTTTGTATGTTGTATTTCCTCATCAGCTTCCCTATGTGGTCAGTGGTTCCCTTGATGTATGGCAAGAATACTTTTCCTCTAAACCAAACCACCAAACTATAGCAGACTACTTCAATTGTGGACAATTTCAACAGAAAGGAGGAAACCATGAAAATGAACAAAATCTGGCTACCAGTATTAAAAAACTCTAGAATTACAACAGCAAAGCAACAGAGGGGAAACAATCAGGCACATCTAATCACCTCTCAACAAAAGATTGCCCCAGGCACTGCCAGGCCATCAAATGCTAATCAAGGTAGTCAGTTGAAACATTCACCCCTAGCTTCAACAGAAAGGAGTTATTTGCCCCACCCTGGTCATTCCACAGATATATAAACCCACTTTCCTAGTTCCAATGAACCTCACTACCTCTGAGGATGCTTGCCATAGATGCAGGTGAAACGTCAGGAGAAAACGCCTCTAGAACATGGCCATATAGCCCAAAAAAACCTACAACAACCTATTAATTTGTTGTTTGTTGCTGCAAACTTTGTTGCTCTTTTTCCATCTGTCTACCATGTTCTGCCCAGGACTTGTGATGGCATCTGGCTAAGTTGCCACAGGTGTGAGTTGCCCATCTTTGTCAACCCGCCCACAAGCTTTCTCCCCTCGCAAAATGATAAATATGGAGTAACCTACATCTGAGTATCCGACGGCACACAGCACTTGTTCCAACAGAGCAGAGTAACATGTAAAAATTGCGACTCCTCCCCCAAGGCAGAGTGTCAGGATGATGTAAGGCCCATTTCGCATAAGCTAAAAATGAAAAACAGGAAACGGTTGTCAGAAAACAGCATAATACCATTCAACGGCAAGCCGTATTTGTTAATGCTCTGTGCAGGTTGTTGAAATTAACATCATAGTAAATAATAATAAAACTTTATTTATATACCACTCTATTGAAGTACTTTGGCCACATCATGAGGAGACAGCAAAGCCTAGAGAAGACAATGATGCTGGGGAAAGTGGAAGGCAAAAGGAAGAGGGGCCGACCAAGGGCAAGATGGATGGATAGCATCCTTGAAGTGACTGGACTGACCTTGAAGGAGCTGCGGGTGGTGACGGCCGACAGGGAGCTCTGGAGTGGGCTGGTCCATGAGGTCACGAAGAGTTGGAGATGACTGAATGAATGAACAACAACTATCTCCCTGGGGGGATGGGGGACTCAGTGAGGTTTCCAAGCAACAACATCGAAACATACAGAATCACAACATAAGCAAAAATAACAATAACAGCAGCATAAGCATAAAATTATCCAACAACACATAAATATTAAAATAAATTCCTGTCTACTCTTTGTGTCTGTTTGTTAGGGCATAGAAAAGGAATGGGTCAGGACAATTAAAAAGGCGGGTCATGCCGGTTACATGACTTTGGAGGCGTCTACGGACAACGCCAGCTTAGATATGGAGATGAGACCAACCCCCAGAGTCGGACAAGACTGGACTTAATGTCAGGGGAAAGCCTTTACCTTAACTAGTGTAATCTTTGTGATTCAGATATGCAGTCTTGTTTTTGTACAGACCTAGGATTGTTAATTTGCTTTACACTCAGGATTCCTGTGTAGCTTTGCTCACAACTTACCATCTTCAAACCGCCACAGAAGGATGGTGCATTAAGGTGGGTGGCACTCACAGATGGGGGTGTTGGAGGGACCTTGTCGTGAACCCCCAACGTGGCCAAGACACAGGCAAACACAGCAGGGCCTGCATACACTCCAAGCTGTAAGGCAGCAAAACGTTACAAAATGACAAAAATGACTCTGCTCACTATCAGGTAAACTGTACAGAATTAGAAAATTATTTCCTTTACCATTAAAGGAATATCTTTTCCTTCTTTTACGATCACAGGTGACAACAGGTTAGCAATGAGCAAGCCCAGCGGATTGGCTAAATGGAGATTAAAAAGAGAGAGGTGGTTTTACTCAAGCAACAAAAACGCAGTGCCAAACATTTCAGAGACATGCCTGAAAGGGAAAGGGAGTCCACATCTTTATCGAGTTAGAATTCAAAAACTGTTCCTGCCCAAAGTACAATTTAATAATAGTTATTTATCAGCTTTTCCCCTCTCTTAAAACTTTTTAAAGCAATTTTAAACATTGCTGGAAGAAACATTAACAACCTTAGATATGCAGATGATACCACTTTGATGGCCAAAAGTAAGGGGGAGCTGAGGAGCCTTCTAATCAAGGTGAAAGCTGGGTTGCAGCTAAACATAAAAAAAAACCAAGATTGTGGCAACAAGACTGATTCATAACTGGTAAATAGAGGGAGAAAATGTGGTGGCAGTGACAGACTTCGTATTTCTATGTGCAAA